GTCCCAGTATTTTTCGTCCCGACTTCCCCAACCATTTCAGTGCTCCCAACTGTTCCAACAGCCATTCCCGATCTTGCTGTTCCAGCAGTTCCTGCTGCATTTGCCGACTTAGTCCCATTTCAGGGCTGTGTCTTCACCGATTGCTGGGAATGTTTGGGATGCTGGGACTGTTGTGGAGGTAACCAATCAGCTGGTGGCCGAGGGGTTTTTCTCAGATCCGCCCTGCCATTCCAGAACCAACCAATTAGTTGGCCTGCCTGGTTGCGGTCATCACTGAATACCCATCCTTCGTGTCCTGGGACCACCGGTAACCATCTGTGTGGTCTCTATGGGTCTCGTCTAAGCATTTGGGCAGGAGAGGTAGCATGCTATGGATGTTGCGGACAGGCATACTCCGTATTGAGATGACCGTATTCCCTGCACTTGAAACACCACGGCCGAAACTTATGTGCCGTATGAATATGAAAATTTTTTCCTCCCATTTTAAATGGGATAATATCATCAATAAAAAATAATTGGTGCTTGGGTAAATCAAGTGCAAGCATACGGTAATCGTCTCTTTTTGCCACATGTGTCGGTAAAGGGTCCATGAAATCCACAATTTTGAAGTGTTGTCCAAAATCGTGAATGAATGCTCCTTAAACTTCTATTGGGATGTGACGCAGTTTCACCCAATAGAAGTCTCGCATTAATTGCTCCCTCCTTTCCTCTGGTCCAATCTTCCTGGGAAGCCAGGGGTAAATCCTAACTTCCGACTTATCCCATCTCAACTTTTTCCAATTGTCTAGTTGATGTTTGTTTTGCTCAAACAAACAAAGGACAATGAGCACTGTTTGTGAAACCGTTTGGATCAAGAAAAAATCAGAAACTGCTTCCTGACCGCCTTTCATTGATTCCAACTATTTGCACAACCATTTTATCTTATCATTCATTGATCTGTCCATACTATCGCCATAGAAAACCCAGTTGCATGCATGCTTCGTATATATTGCATCCTTATTAGCCAGCTTGTCAGTAGGGTAGGATTTCATTAAAGTCTTCCTCCCTCCCTGATCAATAACATGCTGCTCGGACGGGTGGAGAAAAAGAGTGAGAAAGTAGGCTCGTGCAGAGGACAGGTTCCTCAGGGGAACTTTTAATTCTTCTGCTGACGAGCCCGTGGATTCAATTGAAGGGCGAATTATATTCAATGTTTTATTCTGCAAAGAATCTCTCACTTTTTGGGCCCAGGTTGGTTGTGATTTCTTGGCCTCTGCTGTACTCTCAACTCTTTGGGACTGTTAAATCTGAGTTTCATCAGTCAGTGATGGACACTTGTGATTTGACTTGACTTGTCCTATCAATTTTTCTTCTTCTGTTAGGATCTCATCATCATCATTATCCGYTGAGTCCCTCATTTCCATTTCTGGAATGGTTTGTGTTGTTGTAATGCTCGAATCTGAGGATTTCTGCTCTGCTTGTTTCTGTTTGTTGATTGGTTCTGATGAGATTGAGGCTATGAGTTTGCCCACTGCTTCCGTTCCCTGTGTCTGGTGAGTAACCATCTGCAATCGTTCCTTGCTGCTGATTGTAATTCCTCCTCTTGTTTCTGTCAAGGTATTCCTTGATTCCTTTTCATTACCTCGGACCATCACTGTTGAGATCATCCCTTATCATCCCTTGTGTTCCACCCAGATGTGTAATCCCTGGCCGTGTGTAAGGGGAGGCTCCCAGTTGTCTAAACAGGGTATGTCTCATGGCACCCTGATAGAACAACAGGGATTCCTGTCCCCTCGCTCTCCTAGTTCCCAGCCTCATGATGATCACTATTTAGAGTTCCTATTAATAGGGAGTTAATATATGAATTTTTATCAGCAGAAATCACAAAACTCTTCCTCCGCAAAACACTGGGGAAGACTGGGAAATGCTTGGATATTAGAGTTAGAAAGTTGAGCACTCGTATCCTGTCAAGAATTCCAGTCTTTTTTTTTTTTTTTATATATATATATATATATTCTTTGTTTGCGGGCTTGGGTATACCCTGCCTAGATCCCAGGATGGCAACCAGGATTGGGAAGAACGGGAAAGGGGGATGGAAGGAGGGAGTCAGGATTTGAGGGGGAGACGAGGGAGAGACGGATCAAGACTCACCTCTCGGATCTCTTTCATTGTTGTGTCTAATTACTTCTTCCGCCATTCAATGGCGTATTCGTGTAATCCCTGGTTGATCTAGAATTTTTTTTGAGACATTTGCCTTTAGGCTCACCTTGTCTTCCTCCAACCTCCTTGGTAGTCTCTCGAGTCAACTGTGAAGCACTATTCTAGTTGATATTCTTCCTGTGACCTAATGCCACGTCATCAGAGCTGATCACCCTTTAATTAACCTTGCCTTGTTTGCTCGCCCCCTAAGAATGTGAGAAAAATATCCGCCTGTCTCTTTTCCTGGATTTCTATTCCCCTGCGACTCGATTTCACCTCATCAATGCTGACCAACCCTTTCTAATTCAGATTTCGTGCCTACCCTCCTTGATGATTCTCATTCTGTGACTCAATTTCACTTCATTAATGCTGGCCAACTCTTTCTAATTCAGATTTCGCGCCTACCCTCCTTCTTCTTGTCTTTCGACTGGCTACATTTGTCCTATTTTGTCATCTCAACTCCTTGTAGGATTTTCTACAGTGATGCTGTCTCTGAAGATGACTTCTCATCCTTTGATGATTGTAGCCTGTGTGTCCCTACTATTCCTTTGCCATACTATTCCCTTGGCTTGCCCTACTATAGACTAGGCTACCTCCTGCTTCATGAGTCAAATACGGATGTACTAGACTTTCTCCACGTGTATTGGTTGAATCGACCCATCCGCTTACATAAGTCCCTTCCTGTAATTGATCCTTCTCGTTCCCTTGAACAGTATCAACTTCCCAGATGTATTGGCAGAAATTCCACCTTCCTTCTGTCTCCTTGGATACGTCCTCTCCTGTTGTTTGAGAGGATGATTTGTTGTTGACCTCTTCGCCTTCTCCAATGTGTCGTCTTCAATACATAGCAATTCCTCATTGAATTGTTGTAGCACAGAACCCACACTTCGACTTAATCTCTAGGCGTTCTCCGCAAATTTCCACTGGATATGAAGGTAGCTACTCACCACCCCCAAGCCACTTGAGCATTTTTCCTCCAATTATTAGGAGGACAACTATGGAAATATCATGCGGGACCCGCAACACAAAGGTCACGAGTTGGGCGAGAACCCACGTCAGCCTGTGACGTGTGGACGCCCAGTGCCTCGAGCAGCCGCGCGTGCGCTAGGCGCTTACCGGGGTCACTGACTCTGGTTAGGGGGCCTTTTTGGTCGAAATGGGAACTATTGCTCTCTTCTGGGATATTTCTGCACCTTTGTTCCTGCATATAGTGACACCTAGGGATACTTTAAATTCGTCTGCTCTTTACTTGGCCCTGTCCATGCCTTTGGGATAGACTTTAGTTTGCATTCATGAATGTGGGAAATTTGAAATGCCGTGCTCTTTATCTACCCCGACCCGTAGGATAGATTTATGGATTTTTCACATGTCGAAATTGGACCTGCTGCTCTCGTCCTACACATTTCAAATTTGAATATGGATTTTTCACATGTCGAAATTGGACCTGCTGTTC